GAAATGCTCACAACAATGAAAGCCTCGGACAGGAGGAAGAGCGCCGCCGGGTGGGCAGGCAGGTGTCTTGCTCAGCTGTGGCTTGGGGGGGCACTTTTTTCAGTGCCATTGTAACTTTGAACAATCACTAAGCGAACTGTTGTAAGTCGAGGACTACCTGTACTTTTATCACTTTTTTCCTTTTTGGGGGGGGTCATCAAGTTTTTGACACCTTGCTAAGCGACTGGTGGTACTCGGATGCTGCCATATCCTAAAAGTGGTACAATGGGTGAAAAGGTTGAAAAGCCCTGGTGTAGCTGATACAGAAGCTCTGCGAGCTTATTCGCGGCCTGTCTCTTTAAGAGGCGGGAATTTCACCCTGGCCGGCGGCGGGAGGGCGTTCCGGAAGCCTTTGGAATCGGAACGTTGCCGTTTGTTTTGGTTCCATCTGCCCTCCCGCCGGATTCGATGCAACGCCCGTCCCATTGAAGGTGATACCTGGGGGGGTTCTACAGGCGGTCTCCCCAATCCATCCGGGCAAAATTCACGGGAGCAACCGTAGGTGAAAATTCGCCGGGCCGATGAATCGTTTTCTCTCTCTCGAAAGAAGCCGGAGATGAAAGCAACGTCGTTTTGCAAATTGCTGTAAAGCGAAAAGGAAACGACAATAAAAAAAAACAAACCTCAACCTAAGTGAGCAGTCGGAGGCAGGCGAATTCACGTTAGCCAAAGCTGGCTAGGATTTCCGCTGCGTGCCCGTAACTACCAAAACCCGGAGGAGATTGCATGTCAAAACATGCCGCCTTGCTCTGCTTGGGTGGTTCAAGGATGCACGAGAGTGGAGGGCTGATGCCCCTTCCTGCAAACGTCCTAATAGGGTCTCCGAGGGGTCCTCCCATATTGCACGGCCTCCCTCTTGGAATGCTGAGCACTTCCACCTTTACCTTCTCAGATGGTTTCTTCAAGTCCAGGAGATGAATCCTTCTTCTTTTCCAGAGCCTTAATATCTCCACTTCAGGAAGGATGAGTATTTTCTGTTACTGCACTGCCCGGAACTTCTTCCCCAGTGTCAGAATCCTCACTGTGAAGAAAACCCTGTGTTTTGTAAGAAAATGGAGGAAGGCACGTGCGACTCGATTCACTCGTGTTAACGTTCAAAATTGGTCTGAATGCCGAACAGTGGCCAAGATCCTATTTGTATGTTGGGGGATTGAAAGGTTGTCACGGGAGACAAAGTGTGAAGGTGTAGCTAATACAATTGTCCGGACCAATATTGGTAGTCTTCTTAGTCAAGCCAGGCTTTCTTCAGTGGCTTTCCTTCAGGGTCTTGGATTTGCCTTCTCTGCAATGATCCGAGGTTTCATCTTGTTGTTGAAGTTTAGCCCTTTGATCTGGTTTTATCCTTTTACCTATTTTTCTCCGAGCTTTGCCTCACTCTGGTTCCACCTGCTTCTTAAGATTACAGAATCCTCTGGTCCCACATTCATAAAATTGGGACAGTGGGCAAGCACCAGACGGGACCTCTTTTCCGAAGAGTTTTGTGTGAAGTTCTCCAAGCTTCATATCAAAGTGATTCCTCACTCTTGGGATTACACCAAACACTCTTTGGAGAAAGCCTTTGGAGAAGTCTGGGAGAAGATATTCATGTTTGAAAGCAGAGAACCTATTGGATCTGGTTGTGTGGCTCAAGTATACAAAGCTTATGTAGATAATTCCATATTGAGAGACCCAGTGCTGAGTGAACGTGCAAAGATTTCTGTGTTTGATGCTGCTTTGGAGGTGTGGAAGACCTCAGGTCTTAAAGGACTTTTAAGATGGTTCTGGTGGAGGAAGCACAAAGATGTTTTGGAAGGTGACCATCAACCTCTTCACAAATATGATTTCTATGAAAGCGTTGCACAGAATTCCAGTTCTGGAAGTCTAAGCCCACCCTTATTTTCCAAGGAGAACCATATTTTCCCAGTAGCCATTAAGGTAATATCATGCAGAACTGTTCATTCCTACTTAGCAGCACATAACAAAATGGATAGATGGATTAAGTTAAGAAGATTTAAAGCATAAAAACAATTTACGATTTTTTCCCTGAAATGCAAGCTGTAGTAACCAATCTATTTTAGCAGAACTTGAAGAACTAAACACGGTCAGGCCCTGTTTGGTGTATGGTGTATGGTGGGGCTTAGTTGATGGTGGGCTACCAAGTAATCCCAGAGTTAGACTGGATTGAGAAGTCTCCAAAAATGGCAATGTAATACTTCTGTCACTAAAATAAATGTTACAGTTCTAGAACTGTAATAATGTATTTAGTGAAATGATGCAATTTCAAATACCTATCTCAAAATAAATTATAATTTGATTCTATGTGTCTGTACTCAGAGCTATATTCTGTTGAATTCAGGAGTTTATATGCCCAGAACAATTGATGTAACAGGAATAAAGCCTTGATTTATTATCCCAGCATAATGGGGATCAATTAAATATGCATATGAGTAAAAGGACAAGATGGCTGAGGAAAAAAGAGAATCTTTTTTTGTTCTTCTGGTATGTTTCATTGTTTTCTCCAAACTTGATCACTCCAGCAATATCTTTTTCACTGTTTTCTGAATGCCAAGCCAGCAAAGCAACTGTATTTGTGCAGGTAGTTTATTCTAAAAAATTTGTGCGCATTGGTGGTGGTGTTGATTTTAAATAAGATGTTCTTGAAATCTCCCCAGTTTATTCAGAGGCACCTTTTTAGCTCATTTTAAAATTATAAATCTATTTCAATAGCCCAGAACAGTGTTTTTCAACTTTCGATTGGGGAATTCTGGGGGTTGAAGTCCACACATCTTCAAATTGCCAAGTTTGAGAGACTTTGTCCCACAAATAATAAAGACCAGAATTCATAAGAACAGAGAAGCTTCCTGACAGTATTACAATCCCCATACAATAAATAATAAAATCTGGAAGTATGGACC